TAAAGAGTTAAGTGTCAGGCCTCAAACGAGAAGAATCCTTTAGCCAGGCATGGTGGCTCACGCCTGTAATCCCAGTACTATGGGAGGCCGAGGTGGGAAGATCACATGAGGCTTGGAGTTTGACACCAGCCTGGCCAACATGGTGAAACCCTGTCTCTACTAAAAATACAAAAAGTAGCCAGGCTTGATAGGGGGCACTTATAATCCCAGCTACTTGGGAGGCCGAGGCATGAGAACTGCTTGAACCTGGGAGGTGGAGGTTGCAGTGAGCAAAGATCGTGCCACTGCACTCTAGCCTGGGCAACAGAGTGAGTCTCCGTCTCAAAAAAAAAAAAAAAAAAAGTAATTGCAACAAAAACAAAAATTGACAAGTGGGACCTAATTAAAGAGCTTCTGTAAAGCAAAAGAAACTATCAATGGAATAAACAGCCTGCAGAATGAGAGAAAAGACTCACAAACTATGCATCCAACAAAGGTTGAATATCCAGAATCTATAAGGAGCTTAAGCAATTGAACAAGGAAAAAACAAAACAAATAACTCTTAAAAAATGGGCAAAAGACATGAACAGACACTTAAAGGAAGACATATAAGTGGCTAAAAAACATATAAAAAATGCTCCATATCACTAATCATCAGAGAAATACAAATTAAAATCACAATGAGATACCATCTCACATTCATCAGAATGGCTACTATTAAAAAGTAAAAAAAACCAAAAAACAAAAAACAGATGCTGGCAAGACTGCAGAGAAAAGGAAATGCTTATAACACAGTGAGAGGACATATAAATTAGTTCGGCCACTATGGACACTATGGATTTCTCAAAGAACTTAAATCAGAACTACCATTTGACCCAGCAATTGCATTACTGGGTATATATCCAAAAGAAAGCAAATCTTTCTACCAAACATACCCATGCACTTGCATGTTCACCACAGAACTATTTACAATAGCAAATACATGGAACCAACCTAGATGCCCATCAATGGTGGACTGGTTAAAGAAAATGTGGTACATATACACCACGGTACTACACAACGATAACAAAGAATGAAATTATGTCCTCTGCAGCATCATGGATGCAACCAGAGGCCATTATCCTAAGTAAATTAATGCAGGAAAAGAAAACCAAATACCGCATGTTCTCACAGGTGGAAGCTAAACGCTGGTACTCATGGACATAAAGATGGTTTAACAGTGAAACTGGGGACTACTGAGGGTGGGGAAAGAATGGGGATAAAGGTTGAAATTGGGTACTATGCTAGGTACCTGGGTGACGGGCTCATTCATACACCAAACCTCAGCATCACACAATAGACCCAGTTAACAAACCTGCACATGTACCCCCAAACCTAAAATAAAATAAAAATAAATAAAAAGTATAGGGAACGCTGCTTTACACGTTTCCCTTGTGCTAATCCTAGTTTTGTGGCCTACCAGGTGAGGAGAAGAGTTCTCAGAATCACAGCTTTGATCTATAGAGGTGCTAATGTTACAAGCCTTCTGCTTGGGGCTTAGATTTGAACTAGTGCTATGAATTGACTGTGACAGATTCAGTGAAATCCTTTGAGATTCTGCCAGCAAAAATGTAATTCAAATTTAAATCTAATCAACATTCACTGAGTGCCAACCATATGCCCAGTATGATGTTACACACATGCTAACATTTGAAGCCTTAAGCTACAAATATAAATAAGTTTACATAAAGGCACAAATAACATAGTTTGTATTCTATGCAGTAAGACTTGTCTTAGAAGAATATATTCTGAGGGTTTGTCATAACCATGGATTATTGCTGAAGGCAAGGAAAAAGAAACCAGGAAAGTGATTACATAAGATAAAAACCAGAAAAGGGGATACTCAGAAGATCAATTTATTTTTATTTTATTTATTTTATTTTTTTCAGATGGAGTTTCGCTCTTGTTGCCCAGGCCAGAGTGCAATGGCGCGATCTCAGCTCACTGCAACCTCTGCCTCCCAGGTTCAAGTGGTTCTCCTGCCTCAGCCTCCTGAGTAGCTGGGATTACAGGCATCTGCCATCACGCCTGGCTAATTTTTGTATTTTTATTAGAGGCGGGGTTTCACCATGTCGGCCAGGCTGGTCTTGAACTCCTGACCTTGTGATCTGCCTGTCTTGGCCTCCCAAAGTGCTGGGATTACAGGCGTGAGCCACCATGCCTGGCCTTCTATTATTAACTATTTTGTTTTAGAGACAGTGAATCACTCTATCACCCAGGCTGGAGTGCAGTGGCATAATCACACAGCCTTGACGTCCTGGGCTCAAGAGATCCTCCCACCTCAGTCTCCTAAGTAGCTAGGATCACAGGTGTACAACACCATGCTCAGCTACTTTTTGTTTCTTGTAGAGATAGGGTCTCCCTCAGTTGCCCAGTTTGGTGGTCTCAAACTCCTGGGCCCAAGCAATCCTCCTGCCTCAACCTCCCAAAGTACTGATTACAGGTGTGAGCCAGCACTCCTGGCAACATTCATTTCTGTTAAGACATTTTTAACATATTCCCATCTGAGCTAAAGTTAACCTTGAGATGGAGCAAATTCTGAGCCTACTGATGAGATTTAATTTATTAATCCCAGTTGATAAGGGATTTCCTAAAATTAGAATTTCAAGAGCAGACATCAAATCATTAAATAGTTTCCAACTAAATGTCTGTAGAACCTACCATTTTGATTTGACTCAAGTTGTCCTAGAGACCCTGAGCTTCTCATTAGCTTGGCATTGACAGCTTAACCCCATTTTCCCTTTCTAATCTCACATTTTCTATCCTCTCACAGGAATCCTCTATCCCACTCAGGCAGTTAGTTCTATTTCCTCCTTTTCCAAACATGTCTCCTACATTCTCATCTTTGCTGTGGCTTAAGGTGTTTTGTATTATTTGAATAAACCACTCTTCATTTCTCTTCTCGTTGTATTCAAATCCTACCTATCCTTGATTAGCTTAGTGACTACTTCCTTGTAGACAGTATTTCAGGTGCTTATATTTTCTTTATGACTATATTACAGAAATTCATATAGATCTAATTCTTCAGAACTGTAGTAAGAAGATCTGGATTTGAGTTTTAGGCATATTATTTGTTAGCTTTGTAACCTTGGGTAAGTCATTCAGCTCAATCATTCATCAAATGTGAATGAGACACAGTTTCTTATTTCAAGAAACTCACAATGGAAAGGATATTAAATTTTAAAAAAGCCTATAAACATGACAATATAATTAAGAGACTCAAATGAGACAACAGCAATAACAGTATTTTAAAAATGGAAATAGAAATATAAGGTATTTAAGAATTTCTCAAATTAAGTTTTCAATGATATCAAAATCATGGTATATTCCTTTAAAAATAGCTCACGTTTGGAATTCAGGGTTCAGAATAGAAGCCAAGTTGAGATTCTGGGATCTTGCCAGCCTGGAAAGCCTCCTCTAAATTAAGCTATACTGTCTGTGGCCCTTCTTAAAAGATAGCTGCTCCTTAGCCCATTGAAGTGTAAGTACAGACAAAGGTTTGGGAGCAGTTTTATATAACATGGCAGATTTTGCTAAGATTTCTCTTTCAAAGAGCTGCTTGGACTGGTGCTCTTACTATGTTTATAGAGATGACCACATCATAGGATCTAAAGCCAGCTGTTTAAACTCATAAAACACTCAATTTATAAGCTGCAAGTTAAGACTTTTAGATTTCGTCATTCCAGGAGACTCACAGTCATAGTCATATGACTATGAGTTACAAGGTTCTGTTATGTATATTTCTTTCTTTTTTTTTTTTTAAAACAGGGTCTCACTCTGTTGCCCAGGGTGGAGTGCAGTGGCATGATCTTGGCTCACTGTAACCTCTGCCTCCTGGGTTCAAGCAATTCTCCTGCCTCAGCCTCCCAAGTAGCTGGGATTACAGGCACCTGCCACCACACCCAGCTAATTTTTGTATTTTAGTAGAGATGAGGTTTCACCATGTTGGCCAGGCTAGTCTCGAACTCTTGACCTCAAATGATCCACCTGCCTTAGCCTCCCAAAGTCCTGGGATTAGAGGCGTGAGCCACCACACCTAGCCTTGCTATTTATATTTCTATTGATTGATTGATTGAGACAGAGTTTCAGTCTTGTCGCCCAGGCTGGAGTGTAATGGCATGATCTTGGCTCACTGCAACCGCTGCCTCCCAGGCTCAGGTGATTTTCCCGCCTCAGCCCCCTGAGTAGCTGGGATTACAGGTGCGTGACACCACACCTGGCTAATTTTGTATATTTAGTAGAGATGGGGTTTCACCATGTTGGTCACTTCAGGTGATCCACCCACCTCGGCCTCCCAAAGTGCTAGGATTACAGGCATGAGCCACCGTGTCTGGCCTATTTATTTTCTTAATGCAATAAATTTTCACATGTTTCAGAATTTTTCATTTACATGATACATAAAAACAGGAGTATTTATCTCCCCTGTAAAACACTCATTTCACAAAGACAAAATGGTTGGCTGGGTGTGGTGGCTTACACCTGTAATTGCAGCACTTTGGGAGGCCAAGCCAGGAGAATCACTTGAGACCAGGAGTTTAAGACCAGCCTAGGCAACACAGTAAGGCCCCATCTCTATGCAAAAAAAAAAAATAAAAAAAAAAAAAATAAAATAAAAATCTAGCCAGGTGTAGTAGTGCCAGCCTGTAGTCCCAGCTACTTGAGAGGCCAAGGCTCTCACTTGAGTCCAAGAAATTCAGGCTACAAGTGAGTTATAGTCAAACTACTGTACTCCAGCCTGGGTGACAGAGTGAGAACTTGTCTCATAAGTAAGTAAATAAATAACAGAATGCCCACTAATTAAATAATCTTTTATTTTTATGTTCCTAAAAAGAAGCACACACTAATAACAAATTACTATTTTTTGCTATAATAATAATGAAGAATCCTAAAGAGAGCCCAGTATTTAAAAAAAAAAAGAGAGAGAAGAAAATAGAACTACATATTCAAGTTACTTCTATTAGGGGAAAAAAAAATCTACTTACGGCAGTGGCTCGAGAAAGTTCTCGACACGTACTAAGCAGTCCATTTTGTAAATCATCCCTTTGTAACACCACTGTCTGAATGGCTGCTGGGTTATCTGCATGCATTTCTATCTCTTGGCTGGCTGACAGCAAAGCTTGCTCAAGCGTATACTATTATAATAAAAAGAATTACATTTAACGTTCTGCATCATCGTATTAATTCTTTTTACTTATCAGTGTCCTGATAATAATCATATTAAGTAACATCAGTTGTAGACAATAAACATAACTGTCCTACTTTCTCCTTGTGGAGTTGCTGAAGTTTCTCTTCCAGAGCATGCACCACTTTATCTTGTTCACATAATCGGCTTAACTTGGCCTAGGTTATAAGAGAAGATGTCTTGTTAGCAATTTTTAAATTTTTTCTGTAATTGGAGGTAGGCAATCATTATCTGACCAAAAATCTTTATTTCAATCCATAAAATAAAAGCTAAAATATAGCTTATAAAGACAGAATGTCTAAAAAATAGGCATGTAAGCATTTTGCCTCTACAATCTGCTAAATAGGTTAAGTGATATATGCAGTCCTTAATTAAAATGCTTACTGGATTCTATTGTTACATATTTAAAAAATCATGCTCTTGGATTCTTAAGTCAGCTGGGCATGGTGGCGTGCTCCCGTAATCCCAGCTATATGGGTGTCTGAGGCATAAGAATCACTTGAACCCAGGAGGCAGAGGTTGCAGTGAGCTGAGATCGTGATACTGCACTCCAACCTGGGTAACAGGGAGAGACCCTGACTCAAAAAGAAAAAAAAAAAAAAAAGAAAAGGGGGTATAACTCAAAAAACTCAATGAAATAAAACCAGGGGAAATAACGAGGGAAGTATGCATAAGAATGTATGGCAAATCAGCAATCTAAAATATGATTTAAAAGAAACTAAATTTAATTTAAAAAGGAGTAGTGATAAAATTTCTAAAGGCTGATACTTTATCTGAAAAACATAGCAATTCTTCTTTGTCTCCAGTCTTCCATAACTTTTTTTTGGTTTGTTTTGAGGCAAGGTCTCACTCCATAACCCAGGCTGGAGTGCAGTGGCATGATCTCAGCTCACTGCACCTCTCCCTTCTGGGTTCAAGAGATTCTCATGCCTCATCCTCCCGAGTAGCTGGGATTACAAGCGCGTACCACCATGCCCAGCTGATTTTTGTATTTTTAGTAGAGACAATTTTTGTATATTTAGTAATTTTTGTATTTTAGTATGCTACGTTGCCCAGGCTGGTCTCAAACTCCTGGCCTCAAGTGATCCGCCCACCTTGGCTTCCCAAAGTGATGGGACTACAGGTATGAGCCACCGCGCCCAGTCAATCTGTAACTTCTAAAAATCAGAAATAGTTTTTACTTTAAGTGATGCTTCATATGTTGGACTACTAACAATAGGGAGTAGAGGGACGTAGAGGGCAGGAAACAATAATTTAGAGCACACACATAAAATATGAATTTATCTGATGTCATTTTGGACGACTTGGGAGAAAGAAGTTTTTTGGTTATGCTTATTTCCAGTGTTTTTGGCAGAGAATATAACAGAGTACTGACAATATATATCATACTAATACTTACATCAATATCTACTTCTTCAGGTCTGTATTTGTATAATGTGCCTCTACCTTCATCTTGTGACAGCTATAAGAAAAAAATCATATAGCAACTTAAAAATCTTAATTTAAAAATATATTTAGCCTATAATTAATACTTTGGATTTATATTAAATATATATAATATAACAAAGATGGATTTTAATGATTCTTATACTTTTAGAAGTTTAATTCAAACACTGATTAACAAAGTAGAAAAATACTTAACAGTGATATAATATGCAAGATACATAAGAATGATGTATGTAACAAGCTTGTTAAACATAATAATATGCTGGTCAAACAAAACTAATACAGTATCTTACATTCTTTCTTTTAAAGACACACATTATTTTAATAAAAAAATTGACAAATACCATCATTGCAACTGTATCAAATCAAATACTTAAATCAAGCAAAGTTCAACAGTCAAAACCATCCTTCACAGTATACACATCATCACACACTGTATATGTGTACACTCAAATGTCAACACATCTTATTTAACGAAAATCTATAACATATTGTATACATATACATAATATATAAACACACATACACAATATAGACTTATCTTGTTCTTCTGTCTTAAGAACTAAAAGATAATGAAGGAAAAGGATGGGTTTAATTGAAAAGAGGAAAATCATTCGAAACCTCATAAAACTGAAAGCCTATGTTACAAACTATGGGTAGTCAAATTTCATTAAAAAGTTTATGTGTGTTTGTTGACACCATTTGTGTTACTCTATTGTAAGGAATTATTTAGTGTACTTAAATATCCTTTCTTCAGCTTCTTCCCAGTATATTTTGGTTAAAAGATATTTTGTGGTTACTTCTGATTGTGCTTAGCAAGATTTCAATAGCCATCCCAGTCAGTTATATCACAGATAACATCATAGCCTCTGCAGGCAATACTTCACTATTTTTCTTGTCTTTTGATTTTTATATTGACTGTGAGAAAGTAACAAAAACATAGTAGAAAAAATTTAAATGGGGCTCATTGTATGCTTACTAAATTGCACAATTTTTTCAAGGTGGGGTTAGAAGTAATGTGTCCCAACTATATTCCAGTTTAGAAAATTAAATTTCATATATGCATTATACAAAAGAATGTATAAATGACAATTCTGTATGTTTTCTCTATGAAAGAAACTGCCTGACAGTTACAGCTTTAAAAGGAAGCATTAAATAATGATTTAAATAGGAGATAACTTTGAATTGATCTAGAAATGTGGGAATCAGGAGAAGGTTAAAAATATAAGCATTCCAAACATAAAATAAATCCTGGATTTACATTTCATTTCAAGACATTACTTTCACATACCTCATGCAAATGAATCTGTGACTATTTAAGGGTATGCACAGTGATTGTTAAACCACAAAACTTTCATAGAAATGAATATTACATGAAAAATGAATTTAATGACAAAAGTTAGAATACTCTTACACTATTCAAAATAAGTATCCTCAGGTGTGTCCTGAGAAGTGTCAATTGTCATTGTAAATTAAAGCACCTAGATCCAAGAAAATAATTTATATTCCTATCTGGAAAAAAATAATAAAAAGTAAGTTTTAAATAGGTAGATCTATGATAAAAAATGTAAGACAATGCCAAAATTACATTTTTCACATTTATAACAAATTAAAGATGAAAGGTCATAAGCTACTAAGATGTTCAAATATAGTTTCCTTAGTATTTATTTATTTATTTTTTGAGATGGAGTCTCGCTATTGCCCAGCCTGGAGTGCAGTGATGCAATCTTGGCTCACTGCAACCTCCGCCTCCCGGGTTCAAGTGATTCTTCTGCCTCAGCCTCCAGAGTAGCTTTGATTATATGTGCACCACCATGCCCAGCTAATTTTTGTATTTTTAGTAGAGACAGGGTTTCACCATGTTGGCCAGGCTGGTCTCGAACTCCTGACCTCAAGTGATCCTCCCATCTTGGCTTCCCAAAGTGCTGGGATTATAGGCATGAGCCACCACGCCCAGTCATAGTTTGCTTAATATTTAAAGTTAAATGCAAAACAGCTTTACTAGACTACAGAATCTGAATATAACTAGCGGACAGTGTTTCATCTGGATTAAAATATCAAATATACCCTACATCTCAGAGTCAACAGAAAAAAAGACTAGTATATTAAAGTGAAAACTTAGTAATTTATAGTAAATCTTTAGGATATTGACATACTATTTTTATTTGGGGAGTCTTATTGCAGATTTATTTTTACATCAGCTAGCATATCATAATAGAGAAAAATGTTTACTGTAGTTACAACTTTAGAGTGATATCTCCTTTATAGCCATATAAATATATTACACGTATCAATCCGATTTTTGTGGTATTTCTGTTTTCAGTACCACCAAAATTTTTCTTTAAATCTTTTAAGTTATTCAATAAAGATATTCAATAGACATCAACTAACCAAATCCTTAAACCTTTCCCCACACACTGCTTTTACGACAGAATAAAAGCATAAGAAAACAAAATTATTCCTTAAACAAATAAAAACACCTTCATATAATTGAAAAGGTTGCTATTTTGTTCTCAATATGAAAATCCTGACCCCTCATCCCAACCTCCGGTCTTACCAAAAAAAGAAGGAAAATGTAAATTTCATGAGCATTCTGCTTAACTCAAGTTTTGCATGGTTAAGTTCATGGTAACACTTTTTATCAGTTTTTTCAAATACACCTTTAGCAAAAAAAAGAAAAAAAAAAAGGTTTGGTTTGAATACTTCATTTGAAGTACTTTACCAACACTAGAAAAGCAAATGAAAAAATGGGCTATGTAGTAATTACACAAATTTGTGCAGTGCTCCAACTTCAGGTTGAGGAGTGTATTATATAGATTTTATTAACTACATAAGGACATGTGTTATATTTTATTTAGGATGTTGGAACCTTTTAAAGTATCTGATAGCTTCTTTTTTTATAAAGCTGTCCTTGGCAGTAAAACAAAGTTACTTATGTTAATTAAAATTCAACTTCAATATCCCTTAGGTATGTGAACTATATATATTTTAGAGTATATGAACATAATACATAAACTCCAAAAAGGAGTTTTGGGGAAATATTTTAAAATTTGATAAAATTAGACATTATATCCATAGAGGGCAAAAAACGCCACCATGCCTGGCTAATTTTTTGTATTTTTAGTAGAGACGGGGTTTCACCGTGTTAGCCAGGATGGTCTCGATCTCCTGACCTTGTGATCCGCCTGCCTCAGCCTCCCAAAGTGCTGGGATTACAGGCGTGAGCCACTGCGCCTGGTGGAATACAGAATGCTTTAAAAACAAACAAACAAAAAGAGATAGTATCTCATTCTGTCACCCAGGCTGGAGCATAGTGGTGTAATCGTAATCACAGTTCATTGCAGCTTTGGACTCCTGTCTCAGTCTCCTGAGTAGCTAGGACTATTGGTGTGTGCCACCATGCCTGGCTAATTTTTTCGTATTTTGTAGAGACAGGGTCTTGCTTTGTTGCCCAGTCTAGTCTCAAACTCCTGGGCTCAAGTGATCCTTCAGTTTGGGCCTCACAAATTGCTGGGATTATAGGAATAAGCCACCTTGCCAGGCCTGGATTCAGTTTTAAGTCTTTTTTATTTGACCAATTTTAAGAAAATTACTGCCTAGATAATTTCTTGGGCGTCCTCCAAGGAAGAAAAATGCAAACATTTCCATAAACTGAGTGGCTATGATTCAGAATAAAATGGGTTATAAAACATTTTGCCATTGTATTTCTAGCTAAATATCAAGAACTTATTAATACAACATTGTCAATTAACTTCAGAAAAGCAAACTGTACCAGTACATTTTCCCTGGATAATAACATGATAAGGGAAACCTGGAGAAACAAAAAATATAATTTCAGTTTGTGCAAATTTATAAACACAGTTTAAAAAAATGTGTCAGGCTGTCACTTTAATCTATTAAGGATGTCCTGCAATAATTAAGTCCTTTAGTAGTGGCTGAATAAAAGTAAGACAGTCTGAAGACTCCCTAGCCTTAACAGCACTGAGAGTTAACACTGATTTCCTGGTAACTGGTGGCTCAGCCATGCCCAGGCAAGGCTGCTGACATTAGACATTCAGATCTTTCTGTTCTGTACAATTTTAGTTTTCTTTCACGTATTAATATGAAGAAATATTTATACAAATCTATTGCTCTTTCAGTATTCAAGGTCAGTGATGCTATACTGAGCCAGTCTCATATATCTTCACTTTTTTCTCCCCCTCTCAGCCCTTCCCATTTCAGATCTCCACATTTGGGAAAACCCCAATTAGAACTTTTAATGCAACTGAATAATTTAAACTATCAGACTTCCGCATCAATAACCCTGAATGTTGAGCATTATAAAAAAGAAAAACCAACCAAACTAAATAGGAAATCCAGGCTAAAACATGCAAAACGTGATAAAAACATAACCTATTATAACAAAATCTCTTTGATCTCATGTCAATTTAGCATTACATAGATGATATATTTTACTGACAGCTTCAGACACTGCAGAATGTATCAGTTTTGGAGTAAGTATTAAGACTCTCAGTGTGGTACTTTGGAATAGAGTACCAAGGTCTATAATCTGGTGACTTTAAGAATTGAAAGATTCCATTTTCTTTTGATAAGTAAAGCTGTTTAACTTTAAATATTTAAGTTTGTTAATCTCTTTATTGCAAATTTAAGACCATTTTCAGTCATCTAAAAATATACTTTAAATACTTTGAAAACTGTGCTGAAATATAAGTCACCTTCTGAACAACTGTACCCATTCCTCAGTTACAGGGCCCTGTGATGCAGATCCCATGGCAACTGAACCAAATAGAGGCCTAAAAAGCCAGTGTGAGCTCAAAGTCCTTCTTTTTACTAGGTGCCTTATACATTTTAATCAAAATATATATTCATTTTTCATGTTAGTTAATTTTCTTCTTCTGCATGATTTTTAAAGATTATAAAGGTCATACGCCAGAGTAATTTGAGGGTGTTGAGGTGGAAGAAGCTGATGCTGAGAAACACATAGCTAGAAACATTTAGACCATGAAATACACAAAA